GTCATTTTTCAGTCCTGTTTGACTCTTCCTGACCCCATTTGGGATTTTCTTGGCAAAGATACTGGATTGGTTTGCCATTTCCTTTTCCAGCTCATTTGACTATGAGGAAACTGAGGCAGACAGGGTGAAGTGACTTGCCTAGGGTCACATGGCTAGTAACTGTCTGATGCTAGATTTGAACTCGGGAAGATGAGTCTTCCTGCCTCTAGACCTAGCACTCTATCCACTGCACCACCTAGCTTGCCCATCCTGGAGTAGTAGGCCACTTTGTCTAGAGCTAGAATGAATGTGGGGGAGTAATGTATTATTGCAAAATGATAAGCTGGATCCAGACTGTGAAAGGCTTGAGATGTCTGAGGATTCTGCATTGCCTGGTGGCAAAGAGCTCAGTGTATCTATACGTGTATATGCAACCTCGTTTCAGCATTTCATTTGATAATGCTTTGAAGTAAAATCAAGCTTATTTAGTTCTGAATAACCAAATAGTAGTGCTGCCAACAGATTTACAAGAGCCATTTTATCTTCCGTTTGAGGGGAAACAACCTCACAGATAGTCTTGGAACAGAGCCGCTAGATAGCACAGACATTTCAGTAAGTCATTTCGTTGAGACAGCCCTACAATAGAAACATCACAATGTAATATCAGTATAATACACTATGAATATTTTATGTCTCTCTATATGATCCTCTGTTTAATATCTTCCCTCCCTTTACTGCTAGAAAAAAAGACAGCCCTTTCCTCCTTTCATTTCTTGCTCCTTTTTTTGAAAGATGGGGAACAATGTCAGAAATTCCATATCATTTGTTCCATAGGCAATACCCCACCCCCATTTTCCTATAAATTCTGTGACTTCTCCCAGAATCCAGGAGCTATAATAAAAGCTACATATTCAGAAAGGCAGCATGAGATGAATAGTTTGCTGCCATAGAAGTGAAAATTGCATATTGCTGATCTAGATAATTAGACGTAATAGACAGAATCTAGTTTATTGCACCAAATGCATTTAAAGTGACATTTGCAGTTATTCAGACTATTCAGAAATTAAATTTTATTAGATGCTTCTAATTTCTCAGTATCTTAATGTTCCTAGCTGATGCTTTATTTCTCTGTATCCAACACTCATCTTTTCTAATGTTCTACCATTGTTATCCATTTCACTTCTTCCTTGGACAAATTCAGCTTTCAGGCTCCAAATCAATCTGACAATAAACGTCAGTCTTTGTAATTTGCTGAAGACTGGCCAAGTATCAGTATTAACAAAAACCAGTTTTAATACATGGATCTTATCACAATTCATATCAGTTCCTGATACCACAGTATCTCACTGCTTTCTTCTTTCCTTCTATGCTATTAAGGACAGATGATACTTAAGTTGATCAAATAGCTTCTCAAATGTTTTTCTCAGTTAATCTCTTTTAAGTGTCTCCTATTATAGATGTTGAAGACCAAGCGTCTTTAGCAAATTCATAAATTATTCTCTCCATACTTCAAGTAAACAAACTAATTGCCTAAGAGGCCATGTTTTGATTACAAGTTATTAGTGACCACTAATAAATGAAATTATTCTTACATTTCACAAACATATTTAAATTTCACAGATCTTGCAAGGAATCAAGGTTAGTTCATTTCAGCTTTTAGAATTGAAGTGAGATTAGGAGGATAATAAATTTTACATGTGTTCTTCCTTGCTATAGCTTGAATTCCATCTATAACTGAGGTGTGTGCATATCTATTTTTAAACACACGTAAAAAGAATCAAATTGACATTAATAATCTCTCTCTTAGATTCCATATAAAAGCAATAGTAGCTTCTTTAAACACACTTCTTACTGTTTTAATATTTGAATGAAGTAGACTATTCCTTTAGCACCATAAAAAAAAACTCAGTAAAATGGAATGGGGTGGTCTGATTAATTAAATGTGCTGTTTAGCTCTAAATTAAACAGAATATCCTTTTTTTCTGATCATTTTTGAAAATATTCCTAAAATATATGGCTGTCCTTTGCTGTCTTAGTACATATAGAAGGCTGGATATTTAATCTCTGGTAACTGACAATCTTATAATGTCTCAGGATCGTTTATGAGCATTGTATCTCAGTGTACAATAGGATAGATGTAAAATAATTAGGTCGAATCTCTTCCCTGAAAATTTCCCTTAAAAAGAATAATCTGTTACAAACTTTGTTTGTCATTTCCCTTTCTACCTTAAAAATGAAGTGCCAGCAAATACTCTAGCTAATTGAGGCTTCTGGTTAGTTAGGCTGTAGCTATAATTGAGGTTATATTATGTTTCTGAAATTATTACTTTTATCTATAAGAATCTATATGGTATGCACCATATAAGTGAATAAGATATACCCACTTCAGCCAAAGGCCCAAATAAATAGAAGGCTCAACAAGACAGATTCTTCAACCTGGAGATTTTAGATTCTGGTTAGCTTTTCCCCACCACCACCCTGTGGTTAAAAAGGGGAATGATTTCTCTGCCAGAAAAACAATCCCCCTCTTCTTTTCCCTCTTCTCCTGTTGTGCCCCTTTGTAGTACAGAGAAATCACCTTCACAACTAAACTTTACACCAACATTAGGGAATTTCAGGGTACAAACTATATAAACTTAAAGTAAATCACAAAAAGACCAACATTACCCAGTTGGGTTGGAATATGTTAAAAGAATTATGTGGTCCTTTCCAGGTCTTTAATGTCCTTATTCCTGTCCTTAGACCATGGGTCATTTTCTCCAGGCCCCCTACCTTCAGGGATACAGCTATTCTTACTAGGCCATGATTTCATTATTTAATTCAAGGCCAAACAACTTCTTTTAGCTCATTTTCTGGTCTCTGGAGGAATAATGTTCTTCCCTATGTAGGCCATTGTAGGGTAATAGACAGAAAGGATATTGAAAAATAGACAACCGACTGGGGTTCAAGTACTGGCTCAGCTGCTTGGGTAGTGTGACTTTAGGGGAGTCAATAAGTTCTCTGACCTTAGTTTTCCTTATCAGTCAAATAAGAGTCTTGGACTAAACCACCTCTGAGCTCCCTGACAGCCCTCAGTCTCTGTTCAAAACAGGGCACTGGGCAGAGGCTTTTTTAAATTAATTAATTAATTTTTAAGTTTAAGTTTTAATTTAATTTAATTAATTAATTTCACTTATAAGATTTTGAGTTCTAAATTTTTCCTCCTTCCTGAGACTGCATGCAATCTGATATTGGCTATATGTGCACAATCATATTAAACATATGATTTAGAATTAGAACCAATGGGAGAAACCACAAGAAGGAAGAAACAAAAAGAAAAAGAGCAAATAGTGTGCTTCCATCTGCATTCAGACTCCAGAGTTCTTTCTCTGGATGTGGATAGCATTTTCCATCATGAGATTTTGGGAGATGTCTTAGATCCTTGCATTGCTGAGAAGAGATAAGTTTATCATAGTTAGTCATTGCACAATGTTGCTGTTACTGTGTATGATATTTTCCTGGTTTGAGCAGAGGCTTTCTTCATCCACTTCAGCTTACTTAGGTTTTGCCCCCTTTGAAATTTGCTTTCTCTCAGTCTTCAGTTCTTTTTACATGTAGCATTTCCTCCTTTCTGCTCTAGACCACTCAAGCTAGTTTCTAGTCAGACTACTCTTTCTCCCTGCTCTTTTTCTAAAAATCACTTCCAGCTTCCCCTACCATCCTCTTACCACCAGCGCATCTGGTCTAACTGAAGTTTCCCCACTGTCTTGGTGCCTGGGTTCAATTTATTTCATCCAGTTTCAGTTTTAGGGATACACAAATACACCTTTAATAGATAAAGAGAATTGGAGCCTAGGAATAAGCCCAGGAAGTACCTAGTGTCTGACTTCAAAATGTTTCAGACAGTCTTGATTACACATAAACCTCTGAACCCTGGTCTGAGATCCCAACTCAATCTACAGTCACTTTTTTTAGGGGGAAAGGCATTTTTGTATACCTCTAATTAGTATTTTGATAAGATGATAGTAGATCAGAGGTAAAACTTTCAGAAACTCAGGAATATAGCCTCATTTAGTGATTACAGTGCAATTAAAAAAAAAGCAATTGGCATTTAGTAATTATACTATTGAATTATACTGTTTTCTACCCATATTCTTAGAGAATAGATTGGCAGAGGCGGCGGGGGATTAACTGCTATGCAGTGACACTGAGGGCCCCCTGGGCAATAAAAAGGTATAAAAAGGAAGCCCTCAACCATGGACTTTGCTGAAGGGAAACATGATTCTTCCATAATTACTAACCCCTGGACTAGGACCACAGATCTAAGGCTGGAAAGGGACCTTACTGGCTCTCTAACCCAGTCCCTTCATTGAGAAAACCGAGGGCCAAGCCAAGATTCTAACTCCAGTCCTATGACTCCAGAGTCACTGCTCTTTATGCTATATCACACAAGTTAATAATAATGATACACTTATGTAACGCGTACTATGTGCCAAGCACTGCACTAAGTACTTTACAATTACCTCATTTCATCCCCACAGCAACCCTGGGAGGTAGGTACTATTATTATCCCCAGTTTACAGATGAGGAAACTGGGGCAAACAGACTTGCCCAGGGTCACACAGCTAGTAAATGTCCAAGGTTGGATTGGAACTCAGGTTCTCCTGACTCCAAGCCCACCACTCTATATCCACTTCACCACCTAGATGCCTTTCCTGGAAGCACATAAGACTGGGTTAAAGATGTCTATTCTCCAATCAACCTCCATAGAGCTAAGTAATTAATACCCTCCCTGGCCTGAAGGGGAAATGGAAAATGGTAGATTCCTAAAGACAACACTAAAAAGGTTATTTTCTTTTAAATAGACCGTGTCTATTTTAACTTACTCTTTTTACAGTAGTAGAGGTTTTGCTTTTCAAGGTTAAACTTGTAAGCATGAGAAAAGAAAGGAAGATGTCCAGTAACTCTTATAGCCCTGGAAACACATGTCAGTGGTCTGAGCAAGTCCCAGTGTGACAATATGGATTCCTCTTTTCTTTCAGTATTCCCCGAGCATGACAATGAGTGTGTGATCCATTCCCGAGCCTCCTCTGACAACAACAGTGAGTGAGCCTTCTTCACCGAACTACTCAGAAGAAAATTATTCATCACCATGTACAGTTTAACAAACAAAAGGATCTCGGTCACAACCAAACCAACTCTATTTTTTTCCTGCTCTCTCCCTTATTTTGTGAAGAAAGCAGGTCCAAACGTGATACAAACAACTGTACGGAGTGGCATATTAAAATTGCCCTAAGTTGAACTGCAAATAATTATCTGTGTATGTATATGTGTGGGACAATGAATGTACTGTATATGTGTATGCTATATAGACATATACATGCACACATACATACATGTATCCACAGGACATTGTAAAATAATTATCACATGACATCTTAAGTAGAAATAAGTAGGGACTTTTATTCCGTCTTTTTTCACGTTTACATTTTAATTATTAAAAGTTACTTTTCCCTCCCCCTGAACTATTTTGTGCTGTGTATATCACTGCTTTATATAAGTTATTTTTTAAGGTGAATTCAGATGTTATGGTTTTGTAAATGTCTGCGATCATGGATAGGAATAAAATTGCTTATTTGAGAGCTTTCATTAAATGGTGTCTGATGCAAGTTATCCTGTGAATCACAAACTGTACTGTCTCAAGAAACAGAAGAAAACTTGTCTTGATTTTTATGTCAAAATCTACCCATTTCTCGCTTACTTTTGGTGCAAGTTTTTTTGTACTTTGCCTTTAGGGGACAAAAAGTGACTTTAAATAAGGCCTGATGCAGCACATTTCTGCAATTTTGGGTTAAAATGAGGGTTTCAAATTTACCTTAGTCTAAAAAAGAAACTACCATTGCCACAGTTGTTTTACAATGTAGCAATAAAGCGGCAGTTGTCCCGTTTTCAGGAGCATATTTTGTGCTTGCCATAATCAACCAAGAAGGCATAGCTAGGACATTTACTTTAATGTGCTGTCATTTCTCACCAGAAATACCAGAGTGAGACGTTCACTCACATTGCTGTCATGAAATTTATCCAGATTGATTGAAGGCATCACACAGGTCATGCCTATGGGTTGGAAGCAAATGGGTTGGAATTGTGGCTTTCTACCGAAGGGATAAAAAGGAAAATTTTGCCAGTCTTGGAAAACCACTGTCGTTGTCTTTTCTGGTCCCCTGTTGACTTTTGAACCAGTAGAAGAGCTGAGAAATGATGGATTATTGGGCCTTTCTGTACACAACCACTTCACTGGCAGGCTCCTTCTGTGACCCTCCCAAACATCTTGTGCTGATAGAAGTGAAAGGAGTGGTACCTATTTTGCCTCCCTTATTGCTTTCAACAGCATTCCCTGCCAAAGAGACAATAAATTGGTGATTGAAAACCACAACTCAACCATGATGGTAAAGAGACAGCATTTTGGTAGAACAAAATCAAAAAGCCTGTATTTGAATCTTAACTCATCTCCTTGCTCCCCATATCATGTTGGGCAAGTCACTTAAGATCAGATGATCATAGATTTTAGCGTGTCCTTCTCTGGAACTTGGTCTCCTCATCTGCAAAATGAATGGGTCCCTCTAGGGATCCCTGTCAGCTTGTGATCCTGGAAGAGAACCTTGTTCAGTGGTATTCTTGCTTTGTTGGGCTTCATTATGAAAAATCCTCTTGAGAGGGGCCCAGCTTTCAACAACAGCAGAAAGGTGGGGAACGGTCTCACCTTAATTTCTGAAACAAAAGCGAGTCATAGATCACCCTGTCAAAATCGTGATATAGAATATTCATCAGTGACCGTCTAGCAACTGCAGCTCCAAACTTGGGAGACTATGAGAAGGGATTTTTTGATCTTAGGGGGGGAGAATTTTCTGTCTCTTGTAGGAAAGGCCTAAAGTCTTTAATAGTTTTTTTTTTAAAAAGGCAGATTATTTGCCCGTTTCTGGTCCTGGCTGACTTATTTCTCTCAAATCCTTAATGATTTATTCCTCAAGAAAATAAAGATTTTCCCTGTGTCTGCTGGGGATGCAAGGTACAGCTAACTGTTCAGTGAAGAAAAGAGCTGAATTAAATTTATAGTACAGATTTAAACTGTAATAAAATGAGTCACCATGAATCACAGAGAGCTCGGGAGCCCAGAACACAGGCCTGCACAGCAGGGAGCAGTCCCAAAGCCTTGAGCTGCAGAAGCTTTGCTTTCATATGGCACATCCACCTCAAATTTATCTTAGTTAGAAAGTATCCTAAACATGACACTGCACAGATACCTGGCTTTCATCAAAAATGGTCCCAAACCTGCAACTATTTTTTAAGAAAAAAAGTGCCAAAATATGACATTTGGAGAATCCCTTCATTCTTTTCTAATCTTATAGTACTGTATTTCAGCCATTTTGTTGACTCCTTTCCCCATTTTTTAAAATTTTGAATTATTTTTCTCATTGAATGAAGAATGATTTCCAACTTCAGAGAATCATGGACCTGATTTAGCTATTCTTATTTAGAGGTGAGACTAGAATAAAAAAGGGTACCATTGGCCTCCCTGTTTCTAAGTCATGTTGTATGAAATGCAAAACAAAAAAGAATTTTCAAGATATGACAAACTCATTGTTCCATTATTCCTTTTCCTTTTGGGGTCTTGCATTAACACCAGCCATTACAGACAAACACTTTCTAGAAGAAAAAATGGTATATATTTGGTTTAGTTTGCTTTATCTTAAGTAAAAACAAGATTATTGAAGAAAGCACAGGAAATAGAATTTGCATTCATTAAGATGATCTTGTTCTTGATATGTCAAAAAAATTCTGTGTTATTTACAAAAAGAAACAATATAAATCTGTCTGGGTTTTTTATGTTCTGATTTATTAAACCCAGGTTTTCCTGCTACTAGGAAAATCCTTCAACTTTCTACTTCTCCCATGTTTTTCATCTCTCCTCATATATGAGTTAATATCAATGCACACTTGCTCTTTCAGATTATTTTTCACCCCAAATAGTGACATCAGCATCTCTTACCTTCCAATGTTATATCACATAGGAAAAATTCTATAAATAAAACACAGAAAAACAATGTGTGGAACATTTTTACTGTTATGCTTTTTATTATTCCAGATTTGCTATAATTTAAAGCATACGTTAGCCCTTCTCAGGATGTAAGCTTAATCCTACCAAATCATTAGTCTTCTTTGTCACAAATTTGCCCATAGAGGAAGTGCTTTGGTATTCTGTAGACTTTAGCAATGGCATCCTTTGCAAGGTTAACATGGGGTCATGTGAAATGGTTTTCTGATTTGAATCTTGTGTCTTAATTCCAAATTTGAAGACCTAGGAGTCAAAATTTTCTATTCATTAAAGGACAGTCATACTGATTCTGTTGTTCTTGGGGGCAGATATGCAGCATAGCCTCTTGAGCACAGAAGAGACCAGCCCTTCTCCAGGGTAGCTAAGATCCCTCACAGGTGCTCCCAGAGTCATTCCATCACCAAATCCTGAACATAAGTGTCCAAACACAGAAGTTCTCACTCCAGAAGGTCCCATAGGGAATGTTATAGAATGTTATAGCCATCTAATACTGTCCACTCCTTCCTACCCTCCTTGTGCCACAAACTGTAGTACATATATCTGGACATATTCAAGTTTCCCTTGAGCAAGGGAATAAGATATTTACTGCTTTAAAGTCATGAATTCACTTCTATGGCTTTCTTGTCCAGTAATCTTTCCTCATCTAGAGAAAGGAGACAAATCGTTTCAAAATATTTGCCTTTTGAATCTTTATTTTTTAAGAGGTTTAAACATCTACTGCTTATAACACCCTGGTTATTCTAGGGACAGAACTTAGAGGTAAATCTTGATTCCCTTTGCTGTGAAGGAAAGTGACATTACAAGATATACTAGATCATAGTTATTTGGCTTTGGAGAGTTTTTAGTACATAGCATACATCACATATATGTGTGCATGTACATATACACATATGTAATTATGTTGTATAAGTATATTATAAAACATCTAGATATTCTGGCAATAGCTTTACCTTTTTAGTTGTTTTCTAAGGCTAATATTTTGTATTCCTCAAACCCAGCCAGTGATAAGTAAAGAGGTAGCGCAGAAGGCCCTGGAAAATATAGGGAACCTACTCAAAGTTGAGGGAATACATTCTGGATGAGCTACAGAATAGATGAATGGCTCATATGATGAAAGAAACTTTTATAACGAATGGTTTTTCTGTTCCCTTGTAATTAATATAATAGATTTCTATACCAATCAGCATTATTTAATTAATACAAACATTTACCTTTGCTAACATTTCACTGAAAATACATCATGAGATACAGAGAATGAAACTGGTTCAATGATACTAGCTAGTTCCATAGTAGTAAAGGGACATTGATGCACTACATTTATTTTTCTTTGGGGAAGGGGGGACTGGGTATAGGATGAGATCTGTTATTGACATGGGAGGTTTTGTTCTGCATTGAGTCAGCTTTTTTTCTTAAATTGTATTTTTATATTACTTTTATGTCTGAAAAGAACACATTTTTCCAAAGGTATTTGGGGAAAATTAATAATGGAATATAAATTGGTGTGGCTTTGTAGGACTCGTAATTATTGACACAATTATTTTGGTCATCATTATCTAACATTGATTAAGCATCCTAAGAATAGTCAGTCAGTAAGCATTTATTAAGCACTTACTATGTGTCAGGCACTGTGCTAAGCTCTGGGGATACAAAGAAAAGCAAAAAACAGCCCCTGCTCAGAAGGAGGTCAAAGTCTAGTGCAGGAGCTCATTCATGGTGGTCATTATTCCTATTCTTACTACTGCATTTAGTTAGAGAGCCTACAGTTAATGTGAACAAATCTTTGGGCCAAAATTTGGTTCCCACTTTTATGTTTGGAAATGCAATAATTCCCAAGCCTAGGTCTCATAAAACTGAGTTTAAGGAATTATGAAAATGCACATTCTGAATCGCGTTAAAATCTGAGGACAAACGGCAGATGAACTGAATTCTGCTTCACATTTTAATCTGCCTTTTAAAATATTTGAAGTTTTTTGAAAGATGCCACAGTCAGCACTGGAGACATAAAATACAGTGGATTTCTTCCCTTGGATGTTTTTTTTTTCTTTCTCCTTTGTTCCCTCTTTCCTCAAATATTTTTGAAAAGGAGGGGAATATGTGTGTATGTGTGTATTTCCTTAATACGGATCATAGATTTAGAGCTGGAAGGACCTTATAGGTCATATTCTCTCATCTCCTCATTTTACAGATGTGGAAACTGAGGATAAGTAACTTACACATAATTTCCTCCCTCCTAGAATACCTGCTTCTTTGCAGAAGTAAGAACTGTTTTAAAAAAAAAAAAAAAAAGGAAAAGCGCCGAGGTATTTACTGTTCCTAGCCTTCAATTTTGGTTCCAAAGCCTGGGGTGGGGCTTGGGAGGGGACACTGGGGGTACCCTCCAAGAGTTTAACATGACCCCTTCCCCTCCCTACTTCCATTTCAAGAATATAGGCTAAAGGGGGGGAGGGTAGACTCATACAAGTAAATACATTTACTTTTTTATGTTTAGTGAGTGTAAGCTTGCCCATTCTAATACCTTTGCATTTGACCTTAAATTTGGAAGTACTACGTCTGAAAGAAGGTAAGATCTCAATTCAGTCTCCGTGGATTTTAATCCATAATGTCCTTGTTGCTATTGCCACAAATTAAGAAGCTTCCTTACAATTACAGTTGTTTGGGAAGGGAAGGGGGTACGGGAGATGAATGTAGCATGGGCATTTGTAAATAGGCAACTGAATGGCATTATTGCCCATATCAGTAGCTTTCCTAATTTGATCATAGTCTGTAAATTAGATTCACAATAATGACCTACAGATGAAAGACACCATCAATAATAAACCTTAGTTCCCTGAGGAAGTGAGGTCAAACTCAAAAAGAAATGGATCCTGTTGGGCCACATATTGACTTAGAAAACCACAAATTAACATTATCTATGTTGTATGGTATTTTTTATTTATTTTGTCAAACATTTCCCAGTTACATTTTAATGCAATTCATCCAGTGAGTTTTGCTGGTTGCAGGTTTTAACACTTCTACCCTAAGATGTATTCTAAAAAAAAAAAAGTCTTCCATGACTAAATCTGCCAAGGAATCATGATCCTTGTTCTATTAACAGTCTCCTTGGTTTTTTTCTACAGAAAAAAAAAAGTCATTTCTCTAACTTAACCAAACAAAACTATTCTTCCAGTTCATCCTTTTTATGATGAAATACAGTACTATAGAGTAATTAGAGATGATAATGGAGTAGGAAGATTAGGTTTTTACAAAGTTTGGAATCATAGTTTCTTTCTTCCTTCTAGTTAAGATGTAATGGCTGTCCTCAGAAGAGATATTGCACCCATTTTGATTTTCATAATGTTCATCCCTCACCATTTCCCCTTTGCTCAACTCCATCACAAGCGCATATATGCGCGCGCACACACACACACACACACACACACACACACACACACACACACAATCAGAGTTGCAACTTTGAAACCAGAGTATAACTAAGGTAAATCTGAATATTTATTGAAAGATTGATATAGTTAAATGATTCATGCCAAATTAAACTTTAAGATTCTTTCTTTCCCACTGAGACGGCCTAAATAACAATGGAAGAGAAGCTTGGGTTGCCATAAAGTCACTTGAAAAGGTATTTCACTCCAATGTAGCCAACTCAGTTTTCATCTGATTCTTCAGCTAAAGTATTTAGCTGATAATACCACTATTGAAGCATGATTACCCATCTGTTAATTGGAAGATTGGATTGAATTGAAATTGGATTCAAATGATAAAATTGTCCAGGTTTCCACAATAAGGGGAAAAAAATTGATTCAACAAAACCTTAGGAAATTTCTCAATATCTAAATATTGTAAAATTGATAATAATATATGTGCATGATGTCCTGTCTTTCACTAGACCTTATATATTTTTCAAAATGTTTTATTTTATTTGCATTAAGATCTTACATAATTAACACAAACTATATATTAGTATAGTAGAATAATTTAAAGGGCATGTTGGTGTTTTAAATAATTAAGAGAAAAACCTTTATAGATAGAAATATTTCTTTACTTGCACATGGTAACCATCTTAATAACTCATCTAATTGTGATAAATTTAGAATTTGACGTGTTCTTTTCTTACTCTATATGTTAAATTGCTAGTTCTTGAGTCTTCCTGGAAATAAGAATATGAGATTATTTGTAAGGTTTTTTTAATGCAACATTTGTGCATTCATATAATCGGTGTCTAGGATAACTTTTAGCTTTCTTCTCTTTCTTAATTTATTAAACCACTGCCCTCAGCTACCTACAACAATTTTGTAAATCTATTCTCTTGTGTTGTTAATTGTGCATTCTTACAATTTTTAACCCAACACATTTTTGGCTATTATTCATCATTTCATTTTCAAGTATGTAATGGAGTCTATCCTGTAATAGGAGAACTTGCCATGGAGATGTATATAGATATCCTTTTTAATGGGTACATGTTTTCACATTTAATAAAAGCATAGCTTTCATGTATAATTTCCAAGCTTTTGTTTCTAGGCACTATGTAATTACTGCTTGGAAAAGAGTTTTAAAAAAGTGAATGAGATTGTTCCAGTTGAACTCAACCCAAATGTTTACTGCATTGCAATTTGAGAGTATCAGATCAAAGCTTCACTAACATGAACCTGTATAAAAGTAAGGACTCAGACTTTATTCCAAGTATCCAAGTAATCTCTAATATTAAATGTTTGAGAAGAAGTGAAAGATCTACTAATAAATACTTAAATTATGTGCATCTGATCTAAAAAACAACTGCTCAATGCTGAATATCTCCATATAGTTCTAGGGTTGAAGTCTGCACACAGACAG